TTGGTGGCAGTACAAGGATGGTGTGACTGCATGGAGACAAGCCTGGGCTGCACGCCCCTCTCTGCGCCCCGCTATGTGGCTGAGCCTTCTGCTCGGTGACAGAGCCGTGATTTGCTGGTTCGTGTAACTGGGCAGCTCAGCACCGAGCAAAGTCCTAGGTGACAGGCTGTGATCGGTGCTGCTTGTAGGTGCTCTATCACTACCCTACAATGTGATCAGAGCCCTGTGTGTGTACAATGTCACCCCGGTCACCATTCCCAGGATTATGTCACAACACAGCAGATGAGGGAGGATGACATCAATGTGCAGCCACTTGTCACAATGTCACCTCTCCAGCGAATTGTCCTCGGCTCTCATCATGTTTTTTGTCTTTCTCATAGCTATCTTAGAAGATGACTTGTGTTTGTCCTGGGAGAGGGTACGAGTTCATGCGAGGTTGTTGCGTCCCGAGTCAGGCAGCGCTGGAGAGAACGCTTGGTGGCAGCGGAGAGCCTGGTCTTCTGAAGGCGGCGATCCACGTGTAGACTGACGGGATGAAACACAACGTCTGTCTGCACAACGCTATACAACTTCGGCACTCCAGCTGGGGTGAAACTACAAGTCCTGTCATGCTTCTGCCCCTGGGAGTCATGCCTGGAGCTGTCAGTCTTGCAATGCCTAATGGGACTTGTAGTACCGCAGCAGCCACTATACCCAATATCCATCATAGCAGTCTGGTAGGGTTATCCTGAGTAGCCATTACCACTGAAAACTATTTCAAGTGTATTTAGAAGCAATGCTCTTTAGTTTTGGATAGCGTGATGTATTAAAGTGACATTAACACTCCCCAAGTTTTCTTTAACAACAAATCCAGATCTAACAAATACTGGCCAGCAAAGTATTTCTTTATATTTTTGCTCAAACACTTAAGGTGCCCATACACTGCTCGATTCTCGTACGAGAATCGGGCGAAATCCCGCGATTGATAGCTTCTCTTTAATTTTCAAATCTTAAAGTGACATTAAAGTAAAAAAAAAATTTTCCTCCCCCACTGTCAGTGTCAGCACTTACCTTAATCCGATCTTCTTTCCTGCCGCTTTCACCTGTCCCTCCAGCGCTGCTGCGGGTCTCCGATCCAGCGCTGACTCCTCTGTCCTTGCATGGAGGGCGGCGGTGTGGGCGGAGACATCGGTCATTGCTGTCACAGGAGGCTGAGCTCTCCTCACGCACAGCCCCACCCAGCCTCCTGTGAGAGCTGTCAGGATGGAGAGCGGGTACAAACACTCAGTGATCGCTGAGTGTTTGTACATAATTGAGGACATAGTATGTTTACTATATCCTGAATTATGAAGGAATGGGAAGTGATCTACATCACCTCTTGTTCATTCATGATTGTGGTTATAGTAAAAATACTATCTCCAAGTTATGAATGAACAGGAACACTCAGCATAGAAGATTCCTGTTCATTTATAACGGGCTGCAGAAAAAGATTGAGAACTCCAAATCCCCAATATTTCCCCAAAGCCCCTAAAAGTAAAGTTAAAAATAAACATGAATAAAAAAGTTTATAAAAAATAAAATATTTGAAAAAGTTAGAATAGAAAACATTTTCGGTTTCGGCCTGATATTTGTTTTCATTTCGGTTTCGTTTTTTACATTTTCATTTTGGTGCACCTCTACTATTAACATTCTTATTTAACAGCATTTTTTCAAACCTGCCACCTTCCAGTGACGATCGCGCGACCTTCACCGTTGGGCTGCATGCAAAAATAGAAAAATCGCGCGACATCCGCGAGAAAAAGGGTCCCGCACAAGCGACCGCGACGAGCAACATGGAGCTATTCAATAGGTCAGCTCCATTGAAAATCAGCGGACGGCAACTTCTCACGATATCGCGCGGCAAATATCTGGGTCTGAATGTGCGAATTGTGGCCGTCAGCGACTAGTCAATGTTAGAGCAGAAAGGAGAGTGGCAAGACTGGTACAAGACAACACAAGGGCAACAGTGCAGTGTCAGATTCCTCGCATCACCTTTCAACATCTCGTGGAGTCATCAGGCGGCCCAACGGAGTCTTCTCGTGGAGTTATCTCGTGGCCCAACGTACTGATGGGGTGGTCATAATAATCTGGCCACTCAGTGTAGTGCAACTGCAGTTTGCTGTATACCACCATTAGCAGTTCACTGATTGCTTTTGCCTGGAATAGCTATTTGAGGTGGAGGCAAGGTTTACTTAGAAGATTTACAAGATTCTCTGTAGGCCTAATAACATGCATCTTATACTGCATGTTCCTGGTAATCCTAATGTTAGCTCTGCATGCTGCCTTCAATAGCACATTGTGGTTCTAAGTTTCACAATACTAGTTATATAACATGGCCTGTAATAAAAGGATGAGAATGATGCAAAAGGGAGTCATTTATAAATTCAGCCTGTCGCTGCATCATATATAAAATCTACAAAACCAAGGCAACATGTGATGAATGTGCAAAACACAGACACAAACCCTGTAAATGAAACAATTTAATATATAGTATATTTGTTATAAAGGATATTGCATTCACTTTATGTGAAAACACAACAGCACATACAGTATAGGCAATGTCCACAATGCTCCT